TACTTGTGACTTTAAAACCATCAGAATTGTTTACTCCCATAAGGCTCAAAATTCAATGTCCTGGAAACAGAAACAAAATACATCATGTTCCTTTCAGCTAATCACAAATCCTCCCTGCCTCCCTCCTCCTCCTCTGTCCTCTGAGCTCCACACTGACACTCTGTGCCACCAGGTTTAAGGCTGTGTGAAAACAGTGCAGCAACTACAGGCCACAGCTGACTAAATCCCAGACTGCTTATGCAACCAGCGGGCATTGCTGACTGGCCAAGCATATTCTGCTGGCCAAGGCGATGATTGCCGCCACGTCCGCCTCCGCTCATGCAGCCGCACTGTCCTCCAACAATTACAGCAATGCCATCTTCATCCTCTTTTATGCATGTGGAGCATAAGTCCACATCATTTCCCTATACAGTGACAGAGATTTAGTCATTTGTCATCCGAAAGAAAATGCTGGCATGGTCAGAAGAAGTTGTTGACCACACATACACACAGAATCAAACTCATTTTTTTGGTGTAAGACTAAGAAATTCGGCACTGACAGGCACCAGACAGTATGAGGGAAAAATAATGAGAAAGGAGAGGCAGGGACTGCGGGACGTTATGACAAGGACCACTGAGCAGCAAAGAGGAGATAACGAGAATACCTTCAGCCAGCAATACCTGCGTATACAATAGCAGATGTAGGGGATTTGTAGCAACATTCAAAGCTAAGAGTGTCAAGTTTCAGTTTGGTTCTTGTAAGCCTACAATTAAAAATCTGATTAAGTGTGGTGTGCAATTTGTATTCAGCACATTCAAATTTCTTAGGAAATATATGTGAACAAACAGTACCAATAAAGCTCAGGGGACACAACAAATGGCTCAGGGATGAAGTTATGGAGAGGGTATATCCAGGGTTAGCCTATAAAGTGATATCTCAAGCTTTTAACATGTCAGTGCTCCATTCAATCCATCAAAACTAGCAAAAACAAGCCATCCCCGTAAACCCATAAGTGGAAGATGATTCTCTGGTCAGATAAGACCAAAACATTTTCTCTACACAGAAAATCGTATGCATGGCAGACAATATGACAATTCATTCATTTACTCAGAACAAACAACTAATTGGTGGTGCAACTGGACCAACTACCTCCTCAGTTTTGAAGGAAGAGCCACTTAGATTTTGCTCTGCACCTTTATACTGAAAAAAATGTTGGCAATAAAGACATTTATCAAGTCCATATTATTAATATTATTGTATATTTTTACCTGTTTTATGCTTCAGTTGGTTTTTGCATTAAAAAAAGCTGCAATAACGTCTTCTGCAAAGAACACCCAAATCTGCCAGAGCTCACAAATCAAGTTAAATGACCCAGTTGTGCCTGCTCACAGCGGTCATATTAAAAATGCAGTTGCAGGTGCTGCATCCTTAAAGTTAGAGAAGCATAAAAATGTGACACATGGAAAATAAATCTGGGCTCGGATACATCTTTTTATGTGAAATTAAAGTCATTTGTGAAACCTTTATTAATTGAAATAAGAGTTATTTGTGTGTGTGTGTGTGTGTGTGTGTGTGTGTGCGTGTGTGTACGTGTGTGTGCGTGTGTGTGTGTGAGTGTGCGTAACCATCACAAGTTATTGGATTGCAGCTGCTGGGGTCTTTCACTGACAAATAAAGAGTAAAAATAAATTCAACTGAATCTTATTTACAGATATATATCACCAAATCCAGGCAGATTACAAGCCATACCTACGTGAAAATATATATGTATTTTAAATCCAGTGAACATTGCAGTGTGCCACAGTAGAGATGAGAAATCCCTTTCACCAGAAAGAGACCAATAGCAGAAGCAGACTCAGCATGAGAGGCCATCTGCCTCAACTGGTTGGGGGTTGAGGGGACATTTAGGAATTCTTCAAGGCCTAAAGTCCCCTTCAAATGATGGGTCACTTTCCACACAACAATATATCATAATACCAGAAATTCCAGTCATTAGTCATAGAAGACTATGGAATTCAAAAGTGGCCAAAAATAATAACGAAGAAATAGAGTGCATTTCATATAACAATAGGTTGTCCAGTGTTTACTACAAAGAGGAAGAAGGAATGATGCAATATGGATTTTTAAAAAGTGTTTTTGAAAGGAAACATAACTTCTGCACCTCAGCTCAGCCGCATGACTAAGTTGATTGTAAATTACTGTTTGTGTCACTAGGTGTCACTGTGTAGTAATTCTACACATAGTAAATTCAGTTTTGTTGGCCAAGTTTAAGCACACAAGCAAGGAATTTTACTTTGGTTTTACATCTTGTGGACATATCGACATTTAACTCTAAATGTATGGAGTTTACAAATTTGCTTTTCTAAAAGTGCTGTTTGTAAAGGTATATTCCAGACTTTATCATATTAGACAGTGTTGTAAAAATAAGTATCAGAAGTTGAATTTTAAATGTACCATATGTCAAATTGCAGTAATCATTGCAATATCAAAGTGTGAAATTTCACATTTGCATTTTAATAATATTTTGGCCTGTTGGATAAAACTTTTACTTAACTCATTGCAAACCCTTGATATATATTTTTAGCAGCTGAGATACTAAAGTTAATAAAGTGTCATGGAACACTGTCATAAACAAAAAAATTGGGTAAATGGAGGGTTTAACATGATCACCTTTGTCAGAACAATGTTTTTCTGATATTTCGCCACCTTTGTATTGAACCCTGGCGAAGGTCTTCAATCATTTTGATAATTTCTTGATCAGAACCACAATGTGCTACTTGAGATTGGACAGTGACAGTCATAATGAGCAAACATTGTGCATCTCATGAAGACCCACTTTTCTCTCTTCTCAGTGAGCCTATTTATCGACCCATTGGACCTGAATTAAATTAGCAATTGAATTCCCCAGAGTCCTTGCACTAATGCATTGCTCTCACCACAAGTCTTAATCAATGGATGCCTAACCGTAAACCACGCAACAATGTAATTCTACTTCAACTCAAAAACAAAATCTAATCTTTTAGATATAGGCAGTCCTCAAAAGTTGGTGCTTCATTAGGGTTTCAGACCCCACGGTTACATAAAGGCAAACACACATACACACACATTTTTCAAATAAATACCTGAGTCATAGTGTTGAGTAAGCCCCGAAAGGTTAAATAGTGTTCCTACTAAATCCTGGATTGTGACATGTTCTGATTCTTCAGCTGGTTGTGAAGACATTTACCACGTTATCAGTCCGATGAGGACAAATGACAGGCAAAGCTACCACCACAACTGGACTCTCACTGTTGTTTAGCCCCAGACTGTTCATGTAACCCACATTGGAAGCTATGACTCATCGTGCTGGAGTGTTTGTAGATGTGCAGCGAGTCGACTTCAGTGTGAAATAAAGGACAAGGTCTTCTCTGACCAGCAGACACACGCAAAACAACCAGGCACCCTCCTCCAATTGGTTTGCAGCAGGATATTTACCTAGATTTTTATTTAAAAAAAAAAAAAATCATTTTAGCAGATTTACTAAATAATCATGAAAAGATCCAAAATAGCCAAACTTCTGGTCAAAATTAATTGAATTTTACTTTTTTAATACTTGAACTACCAAACAGTAAGTTAACCACGAAGTGCTTTGTACAGGAGTTATATCTTTCTTTTTTTTTTCGACTGGATATTTTCACCGTTCACTAAAATTCTAAAACTCAAATCACTAAACTCAATAAGCCTACAATGAAAAGAGATTTATAGATAGTTAAAAATTTATAAAATATTTATTGTATTTATAAAAACACAGCTGTTAAGAATTACTGTCAACGAGTCACTTGTCTGGTGAAAAAAGAGGCGAGTGCTTTCATCCTGAAACTGCGTTTGAAGCTCTTGTTTTGAAGCAAGATAAAAAGTAGTTCCTCTGTTTGCTTTGGTGTCTCAACACAGTCGGGTAATAAGGACATGTAAAGGCACACTGGGTTACAAAAACACGAAAAATGCCACATCACTCTTAAATTGTTTCTCACTTCAGAATTTTGGCTACAAAAGAGAAAATATTGGAATAATTCACCATAATTGAGATCGACTCCCTGGCACTAAAGGCCAGCATCTGGTTTAAAATCTAAAACACTGCTCAGACATGAATTATTCTACACTGACAAGAGATTTTTTTAAAAAACAAAGTTTTAGATTTATAAACCTTTATGCCTTCATTAAAACACAAGAAATAGTATTTCGAATCTCTTTTTTTTTTACATTAATGTGAAAGCATAAAACCCACACAATAGAGCGACTAGTCAAAACTAAAGGATTTTATTTTACCCCTGACTACTGATTCTTAAATCTTAGTTTTCCAAAAAATGCTGCTAAAATCTCCACTGTTGTTCTCCTGTACCCAATATCAGATCTAGGTTTACCACTCCACTCCTCATCCTTTAGTGAAAAAAATTTAATCTGCCAGTATTCAAACATGCAGAAGCTCAGTCTCCAAAGACAAACTAAAATCGGTATTTTATTTTCTTTCTGTTACAAAATGGACTAAAATCTGCATCCTCTCTTAGAAGCAGAGTGCTGTGCTGCAGCCACACAAGATGTAAACACTGTGTTCAGGTGGCGTTTCACAGCCATCATCAGTATTCTGGGAGCCAGTGTTGTGTTGCATCTTAGTCTGCTCAGAGTTAGAGGAAAATCACAAGCACTTTACAGCGCTTGAAAGAATAGGAAAGAAACGCACATGCAGAAAGACGCTGCAGACACACGACAACCCCCCCAACCCCCTCTATGCGTTATCCAAAATGACAGAACAGATCACAAGAGTGGAAAGCAGCGCTGTGATCAATAAAAACATTCAAAATATTAAAGACTCACATTAATCAGCATGCAGGAGCGGGGAGCGCTTTGTTTATAACGTGAATCAGTGCTGGTGTGCTCAGAGGTGATGGGTGAGTTAAAGCACAGTAGGACATGATGCCGCTGTCTGCACTGTGGAGGTCGGGGTGCAGGTGAGGAGACGCTGGAGATTTCTCCCAATACTCACCCTTCAGTGGGTTCCCATTTGGAGGCTGTAGTGTCCACTCTGTCCACGCAGACTCATAATAATAAAAAAACAGGCAGGTCGATGAGAGCGCATACTACAGGTAGGTGAACCCTGACCGACGCGTCCAGCCAGAAGCCTCCGCAGAGCAGTGTGTCGCTGCTGGATGTGGATCCGAGCATCCGGCTCCCTCCCTGCGGCTCTGCGTCCTATTGTCTCCGCATCGCTCTGATCTCCAGGTTGGGAGGAGAGGAGACGAGATGAAGACGGCGCGAGGAAGGGATGGGGAGAGGGAAAGCCCTCCCCCTCCTCGAGGCTCCGGCCAATCACAGCGCTGCTCCGCTGGGAGCCGCCGCTGAACGCTGTCTCCGTACAGACTATGCTGCCTTCGTGGGTAATCGGAAATATCAACAGTACACGCAAATGCGATAAATACAACAAAATAGAATAAAATAAAGTAAAAATAAACGAACAGCTAAATTAATAGTAGAAGTATATTTACAGGTGCGTCCTAGTAAATTAAAAATATTAATAAAAAAAATTCATTTACGTAAATTTGTATATATTTTATAGATTTGTTCCAGCTGAGTTAGAATAGAATATAAATAGTCTTTGTTGTCCCACAGTGGGAAAATGCAGGTGACAGGAGTATCAAGATATTGTCTTAAAATAATGGCCTAAGTATTTTTTTATTTATTTTTTTTGGCCAAAAACGATTTTGTTTGCTTGTTTTTTTTTTACCTAAATATTTTTTTTGGCAAAAAAGAGGTGGAGATTCTTGAAAAACAAAATAATAAAAATAAAATAAATAAATCACTTTTGACAAACAAACAAACAAACAAACAAACAAAAACAAACAAAACTTACACAAAAAACAATGAATTAATTACTAATAATATAAGCCAATGCAAAAGTTTCACTATTATTAATTATGACCAAAAGCTAATTGAAACCCTAAATTTTATCTTGTAGAATAAATATATTGCACAAAACCACTAAAACTGTACTTTAGAAGATAAATGTTATGTTATAAACATCCTCTTCAACGAAGATAAACTAAATAAGAAATGTCTAAAGAAGCTGTATCTGAAAATATTAATGGAAAGTTGAGTGGAAGAAACAACTGTACAAACAATAGGAATAACTGCAGAATTTGAAGAAAGACACAAGACATTGATTGCAGCAGAATTTCAAGATTCAGCGTAAAGCATCAGAATCAATTTATTGGGGCTCAGGAGACATTGGTACCTACCAGCAGCAGTCATTGAGCAAACAGCATACAACACTCTAGACAGGTCAGTTTAATTGAACATGAGATTTAACTGTTTGCATCCTGTCCTGTAAAGTGTACAGTGAGTCTGGCTTCCATTCAGTGTCAGCAGAAAACTGTTTGTAATTTGTAAATTTTTGGTGGCGTTTGAGTATTTTCTAATCAAAAATATATCAAAACTCGCTATCTAAAAAAAAAACTAAGTTGGCATTTAGCCGTTAAGTACATGTGTAAAGGATAAACATTGGAAGGGACAAAATGAGATAGAAGGGGGGGGAATGACTATTAAACAATGTTCACATAATAAGATAATTATTCATAATGGTTCATATAAGTTTTCTGATAACCACGTAAAAGAACGGAATATTTCAAGGTCCGAGATGTCCTCACAAGTCAAAAGATTCATACTGAAAGTGATGCTGCTTACGAATACAGAAGATCAAAAATGACCAAAAGCTTGAGATTAGGAACCTAGTTCTACCAGAAAGGCAAATGTACAAGCCCCACTTAAACGCAGCACTGGTCCAGAACAAAAGGGCAGCTGTGCAGTGCACTTCTAATCTAAATGTAGCCTTAATGAAAACAATGCAGTAGTCGTTTTTTAGTGATCCAGTGGCGCTGAGTGAATGTGAGATACTGTCCTGGACTGTTAGGATCTGCTCCTGCAGGTCCAGACGTGCAGTGATGCAAAATGTCCTCCCATTGATTCAATTAGAACAGGCTCCAGCGGCCGATCCATCGGAGGAAACAGCTCCATAAATCATGGCGAGGTGATTATTAGTGGAAACTTGTCTCTCCCCATAGGATGTTTTCTACGATCTGTCCTGTATTACAGCAGTAGCTACTCCATGGTGTTAAAAAAACAAAACAAAAATCACCTACAGCAGTTAGACAGGTGGATAAACAGAAGGGATTCACAGAACTTCATGTTCACAAATCTCTACGTCTGTTATAGGAAAACGTGATTTTCAATATTTTATACAAACATCCCCACATCATATAGTGCTACCACCACCTTGTTTCACCATAGCAGATGTTATCTTTTTTCTTCTTGCATTTCTCCGTTTGAAAAGTGGCAGTCAGATGGAAGGCAATGCTTTGGTAGGTTTGCAGTTGTGCCCCTATCTTTCCATTTAAAGACTATGTAATTTGTTTAAAGCATGAAACAGTTTTACAACTTTAACTAAGTCAAATTTTAAGTCTTTTAAGACCCTTATGAATTAAATTTAAGACCTGTATCACGGCAGAAATGTTCAAAATAAAACTGCATATTGTAGTGCCTAGCTTTTTACACGTAACTCCGTAAGGGTGGGCAACAACAATGAACCAGTGGCAAAGACGAACGTCAGCATTTACCTATGATAGACGCAGTTAGCCAGTTAGCAAAGGTACGTTAGCAGCTAGTTAGCGGTAGCCTCCACCGCCTCCAGTCACGAATTGAAGATGTTAGCAAAGGCGACTCAAACGTTTGACAGAAAAGTCAGATTAAATGGTCCTATTAGAAGAAAATGTAAGACTTGTATATGACATATGCACAAAAGAAAATTGCCTTTTTTAAATAGTAATGTCAAGGTTTTTAGTACAGAATGAATGAGCGCGTGGCAAAGACTTACCAATGATGGACGCAAAAAAGCTAGTTAATAAAGGCCATATTAGCAACTAGTTAGCGGTAGCTTCAACTTCTTGAAGTCACAGAATGGAATGAAAATCTGACAAAAAAGTCCAGCAGTAAAAATAAACTGCATAAGATTAAACAGTCCTGCCTCCACAAAATTTAAGCCCCGAGATTAAGTGTGTGTTGCTTTCCCAATTTTTGTTTATGCTGTTAGTGTCTGTACTGTGAAAACTTTGGTTGTCTAAAAATGTTAGATATGTCATCAAAAGTCAGCCTTTCGTTAATATTTTATTTGTAACATAAGTAATCCTCTTTCCACTTTCCAACCAAGTTATTCTTTGTGTTAGTCTGCCTCAATTACTTCAACTTAAGAACCAAGTTACTCAAGTACATAAAACACACAAAAATTATTTATTTAAAAGCACTTATTGAATTTAAAAAAAGGAACTAGAGTAAAGAGTGTGACGACACACACCGGGATTAATATACCTGATATACAATAGACAAAGGTTTAAAAGTGAATTATATGAAACACCTGATATTATGATAGATAGAGTGCAAATGATACAGTGCAAATACTTGTACAGATTTAAAAATAAACTACACAAAGAGAAACAGAGCCAGATCCTTGGTGTGGAGATGCTGCGCCAGGTTCTGAATGCGACACAGGCGGACGTTCTGAGCGTCCCCGGCGTTGTACACTCTGTAGATGTGGTAGCGCTCCTTCTCTTTCAGCGCGAAGTCCAGCTCGTTGGCCGACATGTGGATGAAGGATTTTTCTCTCTTCACTGTTGACTTGACCTCCACGAATATGGCCTCCGCCTCTCCAAAGGCCAGCTTGAAGTCGTAGGGCTGGCCGCTCTCGCCACTCTGATTGCACCACAGGACGTGGGTGGGCCGCGTGGGGTCGCTGCTGTCTCTCCAGTGGCACAGGAAGGAGTTGACCAGCTGCTCCCCCCACTCGCCCACTGCTGCCAGGTCCATCTGCTCGTCCAAAAACACCACCTGGAAAAGGATGGAGCCGTCATCAATAGGGATCCACTTTTTCCAATTCCGATACCGATATCTGGGGGTTAGTATCAGCCGATACTGATCCAATGCAGAAAAACAGCTGAATTGACTAAAAAAAATATTTTTTTAAAGCACAGACATAAATGTACTGAATTACAAATGTATTTGATAACGCTGCACCAGTACAGCACACTAAAATACACCAATAGCTTCACAAGCTTGGTGAAACGTGTAAAAACACAATTAGGAGTAGAACAGCCAATGTAAAATAAATAAAGAAACTGAAACTGACAGAAAAATTAAGTTGACTATGTTGGTCGAACATGTAAAAAATAAACTACAACAAATTAGGAATTCTAAATAAAATGTAAACTAAACAAAGACGATGCGTATAGCACAAAGCATAGAATAAGCCTGAATAGATCCGCACTTATGTGAGATCTACATTTTTTTCAATATTGGGACCAATACAGATATTGATATCGGATCGGTACATCGCCAGTTATGAAAACCAAACCGCAACCAGAGCATCAAAGCCTTGCAGAGAGAGAGAGAGAGGTAGTACTGACGGTGTCGGGTCTCTGGCAGGGGAGCTCCATGTCCTCCAGTGTGGTCCGGAGAGAGTGGTCTTTGTCCCACTGGGGGAAGTCCATGTTCAGGAGAGGACGCTGCATCTCCCCAACTGCTGCCGTCCCCTGGAATGTACCACAGGGAACCACTGCCTGAGGCCCCACCCTGATGGGGAAAACAGGTAAAGGAAGGGTAATAGTTAGGGCTCAAACGATTAATCGGATTTCAGTCAACTATTGAAATAATTGTCAACTAATTTAGTAATTGATTAATTGTTAACTGGAGTACAAAGACTCAAATAAGAGGCCGTTTGGTAAAAAAACCCAACATATTCGGAGCAGTAATTAAGCCAAAACTGTACAAAATATGTATACTTTTTATACTTAAGGTGTATAAAAAGTATTTATTGTCTACAAATACTTTTTAGTCAAAAATCCACAAGTTGAATAGTTTTATCATCACCCAATTCAGATTTACTAACGGACTGCTACGGTATTGCATTTTAGGCAATATGCTGTTTACGTTATTTAAAATATTAATTTAATTATTTATTAATGTATTTCTAATATTGGAACAAAAAGGCTTCAGTGGTTAAATGAAATATCTGTAGAATGTGCATATTTTTATCTGATCATCAGAATAATAAATTGATCGTCAGAATAATGGATGGATTACTAAAATAATCGTTAGCTGGAGCCCTGGTAGCGGTGAATCCCAACGTTAGTTTTATACGTGCATAATTCAGACGTTAGACAAACAGGAGACAACCTACAGGCTGTTTGGAGGAGGCTGGTTGCTGGAAGGTTCTGCGGGCGGCTCA